GCTACTCAGGAGGCTGAGATCCAGAGGATCGTAGTTCAAGGCCAGGCCTTTATCTCCCACGGACCACCAAAAAGCTGTGGCTCAGGCGGTAGAGCACCACAGCCCCGAGTCAAAGAGCTCAATCAGGCCCTGAGTTCAAGCCCCAGGACTGGCACAAACAAAAACAAACAAGAGAAAGATAGCTTCAAGTTTGTGGCTTGTACAAGGGGGATCGGGGGGGGGGGGGGGTGGGCCTGTGGAATTGCGGGTGTAGGGGAAGCCAGGGTATGTGTGTGTGTGTGTGTGTGTGTCTGTCTGTCTGGAAGAAGGTGGAGCCAGGGTGGAGGAGACTGCAGAGTCTGTGGGGTGCACGCACGCACACGCACACGCACACAGAAGCCACTGGTGACTCAGCTCTGGTGAGTCAGACCAACCCCCCCCCCCCAGGTTCCCGTCGGAGAGGGATCTAGGCCAGACTACGTCTTGTCTGTCCATCTGTTTGTCCCTCTGCGTGGTTTGGAGGAAACTATGAGCAAGACTCGCTGGAAGATTCCTAGGAAGGCTTGGGGGGGAGGTGTGTGTGCTGCTGCTGCTGCTGCTTTTTACTTGTGGGGGCTGGGGGTGTCGGTCCTGGGGCTCGAACTCAGAGCTGAGCACCATTCCATTCATCGTCTGCCCAAGGCTGAGGGGTTCTACCCCTTGAGCCACGGCGCCATTTCTCTCTTGCATTTTGCGGGTGCCTTGGAGATAAAGAGTCTCACAGTCTCTCCTGCCCAGGCTGGCTTTGAACCACGATCCTCCAGATCTCAGCCTCCCGAGTAGCTGGGGTGACAGGCAGTGCCCGGTGTTTCTGCCTGGAGGGGGGCATGTGTCTGGGGAAGAGAGCTTCTTCCTGTGGATCTGGCCTAGTTCTAGAAAGTCCTAGAAAGTTCTAGAGAGTCCTAGAAAGTTCTAGAGAGTCCTAGAAAGTTCTAGAACTTTCGGGCTGGAAAGAACCCAAGACACCTCAACAATGATGAGGCTGGGTGGCGGGGGCCTGAGGCTGCTGCCTCCCCGGTCAGCGGTGGTGTGGTACCCCCCTGACACTTAGAACTTTCCTTCTTTTTCCAGGAGGCTCCCCGCCCTGTCCCAGACCCCCCTCTCCCCCCAGCCCCAGCCGCTGAGGAGATTTCTGCCCCCCGCGCCGCCATGAAGAGGAAATTCTACCAGTTAGAAGAAGAGGGGGACCCCTCCTCTTGCTCCTCCTCCTCCTCGCCGCCTTCCTGCTCCTCCACGTCCTCCACTTCCCCTCCCTGGGGGTCTGACGAGGAGCCGTGGGTTCGGGGACCCCAGCCCGGACAGGATTCGTGCAGCCCCAAAAGTTTTACCCGTGAGTCAGCTCTCTTCCCGGGAAACCTCCATACCCCTCGCTCCCCCCCCCTCTCTTTCTTTTGGTCAGTTGCGGGACTCGAACTCAGGGCCTGGGCGCTGTGGCTGAGCCTCTTTTGCGCTCCAGGCTGGCGCTCTTCCCCCTTGGGGCCATATAGCTGGCCCCACTTGGGGGTTTTCCGGTTGGCTCCTGGGAGATGAGAGCCTCACGGACTTTCCCGCCCCCGGGCTGGCCTCCAACCACGATCCTCCCATCTCAGCCTCCCCTGAGCGTAGCAAGCCAGGATGACAGGCCTGAGCCACGACCACCCCCCATCCGCCCTCGCCCTTGTGGGTGTAGCTAGATCTGCCTGTCCCACACCAGTAACTCTCCCCTCTTCCCTTCCCCCCCACCCCCACCCCCACCCCCCGGCCTTCCAGCCCTTTCCATCCTCAGACGCACTGCCCACCGCCGCGCGGGCCGCGTGGCCTTCGAGGGCGTCACCGTCTTCTACTTCCCCCGGTGCCAGGGCTTCACCAGCGTCCCCCGACGGGGTGGCTGCACGCTGGGCATGGCACCCCAACACACCACCACCCGCCGCTTCTCCTTGGCCGAGTTCACCCTGGAGCAGGCCCGGATCCGCCGGGAGAGGCTACGCCAGAGGCTGCGGGAGGAAAACGTGGAGGCCCAGAGGCAGAAGGTAGGGAGGACTGGGGGAAGAGGAGCCTCAGTCCTGGAGCTGGAACTCACGGCCTGGGCCGGCGCTCTACCACTTGAGCCACAGCACCATGGCTGGTTTTTCCCAGTGGTTTCTTGGAGATCCGAGTCTCACCGGCTTTCCCTGCCCCGGGCTGGCCTCTAACTGGGATCCTCGGATCTCAGCCTCCTGAGGAGCTGGGGTTGACAGGCGTGAGCTTCAATGCTCAGCAATGCTCTACCGCTTGAACCACAGCTTCACTTCTGCCTTTTTGCCAATCGATTGGAAAATGAGAAGCCCATAGGCTTTTTGGACCCTGGCTTGCCTTCCAGTGCTCATCCAGAGGATGGCGGTTCAAAGCCAGCCCGGGCAGGCAAGTCTGTGAGACTCTGATCTCCAATGAACCACCAGAAAAGCCAGAAGTGGCGCCGTGGTTCAAGTGGTAGAGCGCCCGCCTTGAGCTGAAGAGCTCAGGGACAGCGCCCAGGCCCCGAGTTCAAGCCCCACCACCGGCTCAACCCAAGACTCCCCAGCTCACGGCTCCTTTGCACCCGTCTCCTCTGCACACAGCTGTTGGCAGCCGGCCTGCTGGAGGAAGACTCGAACCCACAGCCCATGGTGGATGAGGCGTCAGTAGAGGAAGCCCTGGAGGCGGCCGTGGCCCGGGGCGGCCTGGAGGACGATTCATTCCTGCAGCCCTGTCCCGCCCGGCAGCGCAGGGCCTTGCTCCGGGCCTCCGGTGTCCGCCGGATCGACCGGGACGAAAGGCGGGAACTACGGGCCCTGCGCCGCGCCCGCGAAGATTGCGGCTGCCGCTGTACCCACGCCTGTGATCCCCGCACCTGTAGCTGCAGCCTGGCTGGCATCCCGTGCCAGGTGAGTGCCTACGAGCGTGTGCATGCACGTGCGTACGCACCCTCCAGTCCTGGGACTCGAACTCAGGGCCCAGGCGCTGCCCCAGAGCTGTTTTTCCCCAAGACGGGCGCTCTACCACTTGGACCTGTCTATCTATCTATATCTATATATATATGGCGCCACTTCCATTTTCCTGGTGGTTTGCTGGCTGAGAGGGTCTCCCGGACTTTCCTGCCCAGGCCAGGTTTGAACCGCGATCCTCCGGATCTCAGCCTCCCCACGTAGCTAGCCTGACAGCGCCCTGGTGGCCTCACCCCGGTCCCTCGGGTGACAGGTGTCCCCCTCCCCCGGACTTGGCCGCCCCTGGCTGGCCACCTCACACATCCGGGCCTTCGGATCCTCGCGTCCTGAGCGGGCCGGGACTACAGGCGGGCACTACCGCTCCCGGCCTCTGTTCCCCCAGCTCTCTTGTCCCCGCAGATGGACCACACGTCATTCCCCTGCGGCTGCGCTCGCGAGAGCTGCGCCAACCCCGAGGGCCGCGTGGAGTTCAACCAGGCCCGAGTCCACACGCACTTCGTGCGCACCCTCGCCCGGCTGCAGCTGGAGCATGCCACCGCCACCGGCGATCTGGGAGAAACTGAGGCACCCGATGGCGGCCACCCCCCGGGCCTGGGAGAGCAGGCCCTTCTCCCCTCATTCCTGGGGGGCAGCAGCAGCAGCGAGTCGGAGCAGGACAGCCGTAGCAGCGACATGACAGGTTCCTCCACCGCCTCGTCTTCCTCGTCCAGTTTGGGGGAGACGCAGGGAGATGACCCTGCGCCCCCCTTCCAGCCCTGTGAGCTGTGGGGTGAGGAGGAGGAGGAGGAGGAGGCCGCCAGCAGAGACCCTCTGGATCACCTCAGCTGCTTCCATTTCAACGACGTCTTCGGCGCGGCCCATTGGCCCCAGAGCTTCGCGAGTTCGAATCTCCCCTCGGGGATCTGGGATGAGAATGCCAACCTGGATGCGGACAGCACCCCCGGGGCTCCCCCGGCCCAGCCGGGCTGTGACTCACTCGCCTGGCTCCAGGCCCTGCCTGACTACAGCCTGGGGCCCCGGTACCCGGCCCCCCACACCCCCCCAGATGGCCCCACGCCTGGGGACCTGAGCCCCGGCTTCCTGGATTCCCTCCTGGGCCTCTCCGATCCGGCCACGGCAGCCACGGAGCCCACCCTGCCCTTCGATCACGGGGCCACCTCCCTCGTGGAGCCCGCACCCCTGTGATGCACCATCGGGGGGCCCCCCCCCCAGCCCAGCGCCCCACCTCCCAGAGCCCCACTGCTGCTGGATTTTGTGGTTTGGGGGCCCCCAGTCCCCCAACAAGGAGCTGTGTCCTCGACCGGCCTAGCCACCCGTGTCCCGTTTCTGTGTCTGTTTTACATTGTCTTATTTATTTGGTCTTTTTCTCCTCCAGTCGAGTCCTGGGACTCGAACTCAGGGCCCCTCCGAACTCCAGGCTGGCGCTCAACCACTGGGAGCTACCTTAGGGCGCCACTTCTCCCCCGCTTCCTGGTGGCTCCTTGGGGACTTTCCCCAGCCCCTGGGCTGCTGGCTTGGAACCACGATCCTCCGGATCTCAAGCCTCCCGAGGAGGAGCCGGGATTACAGGCGTGAGCAGCGGTGCCCCGCCCAGCCCTGGCCTTTCTCCAAGGGCCTTATTCATAAATCCTGGCCCATCTCTGGTGGAGGAGAGAAGGAAAGGGGGGCCTGGGGGGAGGAGGGGGAGAGCAAGGGACTTGTACCTGTCTCGTCTTAACTTGGGGCACGATCTGAACAGCACCCCAGGCCCCCCCCACCTCCTGTTGGTTTTGGGGTAACTCTTCAGGGCTTTCTTATTTCATTTTGGATGTTATTTGTCTTGGTTTTCCTTTGCTCCCGTTTTGATGTGGTTTTTCATCTAGTGACATGTCAGGAATCCTTAATTTATTCAGCGCTCTGTGGACCTGTGCCAAGAAACTCTCGCGTGCTCCAGGGCGGGGCCTGGGCAGCCTGCGTCTCATGGGACACAATAAAAATGAATTAAAATCATCATCATACCATCAATCATCATCATTCATAAGAACTGTGGGCCCTGTTCACCCCAGGAGAAACTGAAGAGGTTTCTTGTGCAGTGTAGTGTCTAGCAGCTTAGAGACAGGAAGCCAGCTAACAGGCTAGGTGAATTGTGAATTGGGGGGTACAGGGCTGGGGGGGGGCATTAACCCATACCTCCCCAGAGGGTCACTGGAGATATAACGGGGAGGGAGGCTGAGCGGAGCTGGGTGCTGGGAGCTCACGCGTTGTCAACCCAGAGATTCAGGAGGCTGAGATCAAGAGGATCGCGGTTCAAAGCCAGCCCCGGGCAGGAAGGTCCGTGAGATTCTCATCTCTGATGAACTAGTCAGAAAAAGTCAGGAGTGGTGGTGTGGCTCAGGTGGTAGAGCACCAGCCTTGCGCGGAAAAACAAAACAGCACAGAGGTCCTGATTCAAGCCCTAGTACCATCACCAAAGTGTGTGTGTGTGTGTGTGTGTGTGTGTGTGTGTGTGTGTGTGTGTGTGTGTGTGTGTGTGTGTGTGTGTGTGTGGCGCGCGCATGCGCACACAGCTGAGTGGAAGTCGCAAGCACTGCGGGGGGTGGGGGGGGGTAGATTCCAACTTGGGAAACTTGGGAGAAAAACACCACATCCACGCGCACCCGAGGCCAAAACAATAGGCCACGCCCCGTCCTGGCAGTGGGGCCTGGGCCGGAGCCTCAGGAGCTCCCTCCAGCTCTCATCCTGCCCAGAACAATGAGGATTTGCTTCATGTGGGGACAAAGCGCACACCCGTTTTCCCAGCTACTCAGGTGGAGGCTGAGATCTGAGGATCACAGTTCGAGGCCAGCCCCGGGCAGGAAAAGTCTGTGAGACTCTCACCTCCAATGAACCACCAGAAAACTGGAGGTGGCTCAGCGCCCAGGCCACGAGTTCAAGACCCACAACTGACCCCCCCCAAAAAATCACTCCTCAAAGAAGGGGTTCCACCCCCCCACTTCACCTCAGGTAAATCACAACCCCCCAAAGAATCGTTGACACTACAGTGATGTGGCTGAATAGGACTTGGTCTCGATTCTCTGAGGATCCACTTTGCCCCCCCAACTTTTTTTTTTCCCCTTCTCCCATAAATCTTCAGCTGATGGACCAGCAGCTCCCCACGGACCGGGCACCCCCCCACCCCAACCCCCCCCACCCCACTGCTGTCCACCACTGCAGCTACGGCCTTAGAGATCCTTGGGCCTTTTCTAGGATCTCTTCTCTGATCTTGGGGTAGTTGGGGTATTGCAAGAGGACCTGGGAAGAGAAGAACTTGGGGTGATGGTCAGCCCGAGGCCAGGGTCCCAGCCCCCCCCCCCCCCCCCGACCCTCAGCAGGCGGCTCACGCACATGGTGACAGATCTCGATGGCTTCCACGAACTTCTTGTCCTTCAGGTAGTTGAAGGCCAGCTTGAAACCTAAGGGGGGGGCAGCATTGGAGGTGACACCCAGCCCCGGGTGCACCCAAGAATGTCTTCCCCTCCCACCTCTGCTCATCAGGGGACAGACTTTGAGTTCCGGGCTCAAGGGAGAGGAGGGTCATCTGTGGTCAGATCCCACCTCCCCCCCCACCAGCTGTGCCCCGCCCCCCCCCCCCCCCCCCCCCCGGGCTGGCTGCCCTCCTCACCGATGGCTGGGTTGCTGTGGTGGCTGTATTTCCAGGCCAGCTCATAGTTGGTGGCCGCATCTTTGTAAGACTGCTCCTTCTCCATGATGAAGCCCATGTACTCGTAGGCTTTGGCGCAGGACTGGGGGGGCAGGCAGGGAGGGGGGGATGTCACTCAGAACCCCTCGCCCACAGGAAGGGCGTGGCTCATGCCTGCCATCCCTGCTACTCAGGAGGCCGAGATCCGGAGGATCGTGGTTCAAAGCCAGCCTGGGCAAGGAAAGTCCGTGTCTGGACATCTGGGCCCTGAGTTCAAGACCCAGGAGTGGCACAAAGTTAGGTGTTGGTGTTAAGCCCTTTGCACCAAACTTTCCTGCACTCCTGGCTGCCCAGAGGCTTGGTACCCCCAATCCGGAGTCTCCCTCAACTGAGCCCCTTCCGAGAACCCTCCCTTCTCCCCCCAGGCCCTGTCTTTTCTTTTGTGCCTGTCCTGGGGCTTGAACTCAGAGCCTTGTAGCTTTCTCGCCCAAGGCTGGTGCTTAACTGCTTGCCCAACAGCTCCCCCCTGTGGTTTTTGCTGGTTCACAGGAGATCAGAGTCTCACGGGCTTGCTTCTCCCAAGTTGGCTTTGAACTGCGATCCTCCGGATCTCAGCCTCCCGAGTGGTCGCGATTCCCGATGTGCTGTGGGGTCTGCCCTCCCCCTGCCCCCCCAGATCTGGACCACCCCCACCCCCCTTCCCCCCGGGTGCTCGCCTTGTTGTAGCGCACGCAGCGCCGGAGCAGCTCAACGGCCAGATCGAACTTGCCAGCGGCGCAGTGCAGATGCGCCAGCAGCAACCACGCGCGTTCCAGGGCGTCCGCTTCCCCCGGGGTCCACACCGCCCTGGCCAGGCGCTTGAGCTGCGTGCGCGCCTTGGGGATCTGCTGCAGCAGCGTGTAGGCCTGGGCCAGCGCCAGTAGTGCTGCTGCATTCTCTTTCTGTCCCGGGGTGGGGGGGGGGTCTGGTGTAAGATCAGAAATGTGCCCCCCCCCCCCGCCAGCCCCAGGCCCTTTGCACGCACCTCGGCCTGGGCCAGCTCCACGAAAGCCACCAGAGCGGCCTCCACCTGGGCACGCACACCACCGTGCAGCAGACACAGGCCGCGAAGCAGCCGCAAGCGTGCAGGGCCCGGGTCTGAGGGCGGTGGGAACTCTTGTAGTAGCCGCTCGGCCGTGCGCAGCCCCTGAGGCCGGGACCCAGCCCTGGGGGGGGGGGGGTGGGAGGGAGGGAGGGAGGCTGGCATCACGATCCTGGACACGGTACGTGTCCCAGAGCCACAGGGTTGCGTGGAATTGTACACCTGGTGCACCCTGTATAGGTTACTCTCTATTGCCAGACGCCATAGCAACATAGGTTTGCTGAGATACGCATAGATAATAGAATTCATACGTTCTTCTTAGTTCTAACTCCTGGGGCTTGAACTCTGGGCCTGGGCGCTGTCCCTCAGCTCTTCAGCTCAAAGGCTGGCGCTCTACCACTCGAGCCACGCCTCCATGTCTGGTGGTTTATTGGAGGGAAGAATCTCCTGGACCTTTCAAGGCTGGCCTTGAACTGTGATCCTCAGATCTCAGCCTCCTGAGCGGCTGGGCTGCCAGGCTGAGGATCTCTGTGGTAGGCGGCCGCCCGTCCACAGGGCCTGTGGATTCCCCGCCCCTCCTTCTCCCCCTCCTTACTTGCTCTCTGCCCCCGTGTTCTCGAGCACCTCTCCCCCCAAGATCTCGTCATCGGGGTTCAGGCAGATCCGCACCATGTAGTCCGTGGCCTCCTGACCCCATGTGGTATCCTTGCGGGCCTTGTTCAGGAACTTTAAGGCCTCGTTTGGCCTTCCAACGTGCCTGGAGTTGGAGAGAGTTAAGACCCCAAGAATGTAATGGGAAGGGGACAGGCAATGTCTCTGTTGGGGGACACTTCGGCGTCCAGAGCTCGCGTCTGCCATTCTCGCAGGAGGCTGAGACCTGGAGGATCACAATTAGAGGCTAAGCCCGGCCAGGAGCTGCCATCCCAGCTGCTCAGGGGGCTGAGATCTAGAGGATCTTGGTTCAAAGCCAGTCCAGGTGAGAAAGTCCGTGAGATTATGTCCCATAAATCACCCCCCCCCAAAAAAAAAGCCAGACATGGAGCTGTGGCTCAAGTGGTAGAGCACCAGCCTTGAGCAAAAGCAGCTCAGGGAGAGTGCCCAGGCCCTGGGTAAGCACAGTCCGAGCCTCTTTCTGCTCAAGGCTGGTGCTCTACCACTTTGAGCCCTGTAGATGGCGCCACTTCTGGTTTTCCAGGTGGCTCACTGGAAATGAGTCTCACCAACTTTCCCCAGCCCTGGGCTGGCCTCCAACGGAGATACTCGGGATCTCAGCCTCCTGAGTAGCTGGGATGACAGGCGTGAGCCCCCAGCCCCCAGCTTCCTCTTGGTTTATTGAAAGCAAGACCCCTGCATCTCCCCTCTTCTTCCCCCTCCCCCCAACATCCCTCACTCCAGCTCCGCTCACCAGTAGTAGATGCCCTTGCAGTAGTTGAAGCCAGGCTCCAGTACCACCCTGCTGGACCCCTTCTTGGCCAGCTCGAAGAAGGTGGGTGCCTCCTCCAGCCTGCCGCTGCGGCGGAGCAAATCGATCAACTTGTTAAATACCACGAAGTCGTCTGAGAAGAAATCAGGCCGAGTTGATCTTTCGCCAGGCTCTGGGTTGGCGGCCAGGTCTTCCTTAGAAGACAGACTCCTGACGATCAGGGTTCGAGGCCAACCCCCGGGGGCAGAGAAATCCTGACTCTTCTCAGCAGAGAAAGCCTCACAGACTTGGGAGCTGCGCTGTGGCTCAGGTGGTAGAGCGCCCGCCTTGAGCAGGAGAAACTCAGGGATGGCATCCAGGCCCCGGGTGACCTTCTAGTGGTGATCTCAGGAAGGCCGGATTACCTGGACACTTCTCCAGGACCTGGCGGTAGTGACCGATGGCTGCTTCGTAGTTCTGCTTCCGGAACATCAGGTCAGCAAGCATCTGTCAGGAGACAGGCAGGGCGGGCTGGGGGGCTGGGGGGGGCTGTGGGGGACACCGGGCTCCACGCCTCAGCCCTGCACACAACTGAGGAGCCTGAAGTGGTGCTGTGGCTCCGGCGGTAGTGAGCTAGCCCACAAGTGAAAAGGCTCAGGGCCCTGAGTTCGAGCCCCCGGACTGGCAAAAGAGAAAAAAGAAAACCACACAGGTGCCATATTGCGGGCAGTGGGTACAGGCGGTGGGCGTGGCCTCCCCTGAGCCAATCCACATCACCCCTGTGCTCAGTGGGCGTGGCTTCCCTGGAGCCCATCAATGTCATCTTCTGTGCTCAGTGGGCATGGCTT